ATGGACCCAGAACCCCATTTTAGCTAATGAAAACCATGCCTAAGACTTGGTGGACAGGAAATGGAAACTTTCCTTTCACTAAAATGGAGTTGGGAGTATGAACCTGGGAGCTACTGGCAGCCATCTTGCCCACAGGTGAAAAGCTTAGCTAAGTTTTGGAGCCCACTCACAGGAGAGCAGAACAAAGGAAAAGGAGCGTTCTGGATCTAGCTGTGCCTGAAACAGGAGACATGAAATAAACTTTTTTTTGGCTTAAGTAGGTTTGAATTGGGTTTTCTGTCACTTATAACCAAAAGAATCTTAAATGATACATTCTCATTGGATCTTGCTGGAATAGAAAACTGCTCAGCGTTTCTCAGCTGAGGCATCAATGACATTTGATAGGACACTTCTTGATTATGCTGACTGAACATTTGTTTTTGCCTCTGCACACAAAATAACAGAAACATCCCTGATTATGACAACCAAAATCATTCACCTGTCTCATTAGACACACCCACACTTTCCAAATGGCCCCTAAGAGGCATGTACTATCCCCCTTTGAGAAAAAGTAAGCTAGAAAATCTGTAAGGCCTCTCCCACCAAGCAAAAATTACTCATGTCACCCAGCAGAAATCAAATTCTCTGGAGTCCAGTTTTAACACCAACTGAGAATAACTTAGTGTCTGTGTTCACTTATTTTTTAAAATACAGTCCCTAATCTATAGCTACATGGGTAAACTTATCAAAGAGGTATTGCAATAAATTTCTCATGAAATAATTTTCCCAAGGAAAATATCCCACTTTTGAATTACTCTATAGCTTATAATTTGCCCTCTAACAAGATACTATTTTAAAAAACTGAAGTTTTAAGGTGATCTTTTCATACCTTTACTTCCTCTCTCAGTAGAAGATTGAAGTCACTTAGAAAGCTATTCTGTGTCACCATTATTTTTCTGGACCTTTTAATTATATCGCCACAAAAGTGACAGACTGGAGGGGGCAGGGATACCTATCACTTCTTTATAGACAAATGGGTTTTATTACTTCACAAGTATTACTGCAAGTTTGACTAATAAACAACAGTGAAAATGATGACTGTCAGTCCTTTAAGCTCATTCACTTAGCCGTGCCAATCTCTTAGCTCAGATAATTTACTACATGTCATTCTTCATTAGCCAAAACCACAAATGTTAAATCTCTGAATGCCAATGACCTCTTGTACCCCACAGTGCTCCATAGATGTAAGAGGATAAAGTTTTCCATGTTGTTGAAAGGTTATCAGATTTAAAATCTAGTGTTTATGTTACCTTTATAATCTTTGTGATTTTTGTTTTGCTTTAAGCCATATTTGTTTTTTTCCCCTTCTTGGCAATTTTGTGCTCTTAATATTAATTCTCAAACAAATTCTCCACTGGCAAATTTGGATATATCAGGAGAGTGGGCTACAGTCCATGTGTTGCCTTTGAAATATGAGCACAATAATATGACTTCACATTGCGTGAGCACGCCGACCAAATTCAGGCTGAGGACTTCAGCCACAACACAGACAGTCCTTTCATCTCCTCTCGCTTCAAAACTGCCATAAATTGTTGCTGCTGGGTATAATGCCAGGATCCTGGGGCCAATTTTTATGTTTCGGGAGATTTGAAGGATGTATCCAATACCATCCTGCTGGTTCAACTAGCTGACAACCTCTTCTCCCATCTCAACCCTTCTGTGAAACATGGCGGGGACTCCTCACAGTGGTGTTGCTGCTTGCAACAAAGCAGTTTGCTATTTGAAGGCTGAAAAAGGAGGACCGTAGAAGTCAGAAAAGTGAGACAGAAGGGATAAAGAAGGGGAGGCAGTTAAACCACTTCAAAACTACTTTTTGAATTTCAGACTGAGTAGAAAGTGGTCCTGAAACTCAGAGAGAAACCTCAGTCTTTCGTACATTCATCTTTGAGGTCAGAAGTTGGTGGGAAGGCTGGCTGGCAAAGCACCTTCATGAACAGCAAATTTAAGTAATTTCCTCAAATGTCCCACATGAACTTTGCTTTAAATTACTGTGGCTACTGTAAATAGTCTCCTTCATCTTCTATTTCCTTTATCCCCATACCTTCATTCCTCAGATTTAAGTCTTGCAAAGAAATTAAGAGGCCATTTTCAGGAGACTATATCATGCCTCAGCCCCATATGGGGCTCTCTGTACATTAGAGAGATGGAAATGTCTCCTGTCTCATGTGCCTCCTTTAAAAGAATTAATTGCCTGCAGCTGGTCCACGCTGGTTGCACGAATGTTCAGTTTTCACATGATTTTGCCACAGCATCATAATGACTGCAGTTCTTTGATGGAAGAAAGAATGTCCATGGAATAAACAGTTGAAGGATTTGGAGCTGAAGTTGGGAACATGGGCTGCTTTGTTCTTATGACAAATGCTTCACCATCAAAAACATGTCTCCATTTTGAAGGATCTGTCTTTTCTCTTCCAGTCACAACCCTCCAGCTACAATAACAGACTCAAGAGTTTTTTAAATGCCAAGGTTATGAATATTCTTTTATGATTATTTTCCTTTGAACTCAATCCTCTTGAAGGAGAAAATAACCCTATGTATTGCAGGGTTGACAGTAATAGACAAAATATAAAAATTGTTCTCTGAGGGGCAGTAAAATGCTCCAAAATGCATGGAGAAAAATTCCAAATACAACATAATGTCTATGGAGCTCTGCCTTTGCAGCTATAATTTTTAGAAAGTAATATTTCTGACTGGCATGTATTACACAGAACATATTTCAGAGACAAATATCAAGATTAATACCTTAAAATGGCTCCCTTCATAGCTTCAGGTTTGCTTTCCCCATATTAGTGCAAACTCTCAGTAAGTTGGATTTTAGGATGTGCCATTGGGAAGGAAGGAAACCTTCGCAGCATTAAACTGCTTATGTTTTTATTTCTTTTATCTCTTTTCAACATACCCTCCAACTTCCTCCTCTAAAAATAATTCAACTAATGCCAACTCAACAGATTATAGTAGATTTCCTGTTAGTTTCATTTTGCTTCAAAAGGAATTTATTGTTTCGGCTTATAGCTATATACGTATGAATGTCAACTAATGTTTAGGTTCCTTATTAAAACTTCTTTTCAATCTGCTTTAATATCATCAATTAAATTCTGTTCAGTTGTTTAAAAATGTTTTTCAAATGCTTTCTCTCATTTAAAAGTTAATCCAGAAAATTGTCTCCTTTAATCCTGCTTTGTGGCTTAGATTGTGTAGCCCAGGAATCACTTGCATTGATTTCTGTTATACCCATGTGGATATAAAAATAGCCTTTACCAGGCAGAGAAGTAATTCTGCAGGCAAATGATGTGCTTTTAAAGCCCAACTTTGTTGGGTGAATTACAACAACAGTGGTTTAAGAATCATGCCCCAGGTGCAGCAAGTGACCTATAAAAATTGGTGCTTTGTGTTTGGTATTAGGAATGTTCTGTATAGTTCTTCACATTTAAAGAGACAATATACAACAGTGATTCAGAGCATGACATTTAAAGCCAGACTTTTTGGGTTCAAATCCCACCCTTGCCACTTAATAACTGCTTTATCTTAAAGAAGATACTTAAACCACAAAGTCTCATCAAATGGAGTTACTAACACCTACCCCTTAGAACTATTGTGAGGCTATGGTTGGAAAAAACATACAAAGTACTTATAACATTTTCTGACACAGTTAGTCCTCAATAAGCATTAACTCTTAATATTAACTCTCAAAAGCAAATCCATTTACCTAATTCTAGAAGCAGATTTGTAAAATAAAAAGAAATCCTAGAAAAAATGTCATTTGGTAAAATTTACCAACATAGAATTATAGCCCATAATGATATATATATATGTGTATGTGTAAGTTTGTGTGTATGATTATATATAATTATAGTTATTTTTTTAAATAATTATATATATATATTGCCCTATAGATAAAATTCTTTTTTGGAAAGCACTTTTTAGTAAGCAAACTTCTTTCCCTATGACTTCCACTGTCATTGAACTTAAAACTTCCATTACTTCCCCACTTGGTTTATCTGTCTCACTCCCTTTCTGGTTCCCCATTAATTCAGGGTGCATTTACTGAATGTCTGCTCAGACATGGGCACACGAAGAACAGTGGCACCCATTAATTATATGGCAAGACTGGTTTCTTGGGCCTCCCTGGTGGCAGAAGGGGTTAAGACACAACCGATGAAGCTAACCACAGACTTTGCAACATGAGTTTGATCCCCAGCCAGGGAGCTACCCACATGGCGCAGCAGACCTCTCCTGGCTTACACCCTGCTCCCCTCAGCAGTGTTTTTCAGTCTGCCTGTTCCATTCCCCACTCTGTCTCTCGTGAATCCTCTCACCCCCCGCACCTCTGGCCTGTACCCCCATTCTTGTATGCATAAATAAATAAATCTTAAAGAAGATTTTTTTAAAAAAGACTGGTTTCTTAATTAATTGATCAAGATTGTATATGTACATAGTTTTCTTGCTAAAGAAAACTCCATGAGTTCCTATGTTCCCAAGCTAAACAGTTTTGTTTCCATGAATCTCCTGAAATAAATATGCTATAAGAAAGCAACCAAACTTGAACATGAGATCACTTACCTATGCAAAAATATCTACTGTGCTACCGCTGTGTTACTCTAACACTGTGGAGTCACATTCAACAATCTTTTACTGTCCTTATCTTAACTCAAGACCAAAAAAGTAAATAAATGACTGGTAATTATATAATTTAGCCACGAAAAGGCAGAAAATATATAGGTACAGTTTGATTATAACGACTTTTTTTTTAATCTGCATTGAAAATATATGAGGAAAATCTAAAGAATAAAAGGAGTTTTATGAAAGATTTTGTTAATATAATGGGATTATCATTTTTAATCAATTTCCCATTTTTGTTATTATTTTACAATGAAAATGCTACATTGATAAAGCTACAAAAATTAAACTATGAACTGTACAATTCTTCATTTACATATAAAAAAGTAATTCATGTTTTGGCATTCAATTCTGATTTATTTTCCATGAAATAAACACTACAATTATTTCTCAAAGAAATTTAAGAGTTTTCATCTTACATTTCTTTGTTACATGCAATAGATTCCCAAGTACAAAAAAAATTAAAGCTAAAACTACACATTGCACATCACCATCATATTTAAGTACTGTTTAGACCATAATACTAAATATCTGAATCTGATTTGGTTTCATAATTTCTTATCCAGAGAATTTTTGAAAAGATATTTATTTTCTGTTTTCCTAAATATTTACCTTTCTTTAATCTCTAGATAAAAATTAATGATCAGTTTAGAACCTGCAGATTGATTCTATAGGATAGATGTTTCCACACAGCATTTTTCTGCAGTCAGATTATTTGAAATGGCACTTTGGTTTCTGAAAGCAATACTAGATGCAGGTACCGTAAGCAAAACCAGAATATTATAAATGAAGATACTCTAACACAAAGACTTGTATGATTTTGTTTAGGTTGTCAATGGTTGCTTCATCCAAATTTTCTTCATTGTCATCCATGGTATGCCAGACTTCAGGAAAAGGATATGATATCAGATGTAAAACTGGAACACCTATAAGAAAGAACCAATTTGCAATAAAATGAATATTTCCCATGAAAAATTGTCATTTTTCAAGCAAAAGTCTGAGCGAGAGTTCTGTACCATATAAAGCCAGTCAATAATTCATCTTTGTGTATTATGTTACTTTGTGTCTTCCCTTGTACTCCAAAATCATTGATTCATTAAACAAATATTAATTTACTAAGTAATTACAAAGGGCCCACCATGTGCCAGTCCCTATTCTAGGACTGCAAATTTCATCAGAATAAATCAAAGCCCTGTCGACATGGAGCTTACATTCCAGTAGAGAAAGAGGCAAGAAAACAAATATATAAAAAATAAGTTCAGAAAATGATAAGGTTTATAGAGAATAATACACAAGGTAAGGGACTAGAGATGGAAGGGAAGACAGCATGGCCTATTTGGAAACTAACAATTAAATATAGAGACATGCAACAAAGGGAAAAGCAAATGGTGCAGAAATCAGAAGATAAGCATTCTGGGCAGGAGTATAAGCAAGTGCAAATGAGCAATTTAGCAAATGAGCAACAGTGTGCTGTTCCTGATTGAGTAACAGGAATGAGGACTATGTGACTGGATCAGAGCAATAATCTGAATGAGGGCCTCCCCTGGTGGCACAGTGGTTGAGCGCTGGGCTACGAAGCTGCCCACAGCCTCTGCAGTATCTGTTCCATCCCCGGCCGCTGGCAAGGGTCCCACATGGCACGCAGACCTCCCCTGCTACCCGCTGCTCCCCTCAGCAGTGTATTTTGTAGGACTGCCTGTTCTGTTCCCCGCTCTGGCTCTGGTGAATTCTCTCACTCTCCCGCGCTTCTGACTATACCCAGTGCTTGTGTAAATAAATAAATAAATCTTTAAAAAATAATAATAATCTGAATGAGGGGTAGGGAGTGATCTTGGAGAGGGGGAACAGAGTCAGAAAATGACTGGAAAAATGGAGGCCTTTGTAAATCAGATAAAAACTTATTCTACATGATGGCAAGCTACCAGAGCTTTAAGTCAGAGAAGAAACATAATTTAAGTTACATTTTCAAAATGGACTCTTACGGCTGGTAAGGAATAGAGAAGCAAAAGCAAAACCTAAAAGCAATTAGGAGGCTACTGCAAAAGTCTTTGGGATGATTTAGATTTCCACCATCTCAATATCAAATATCTTGCATCTTCATTAACCAGAAAACACTATAATACATAAAGTATAAGAACACAATCTAATTCTATATATCTATGGTCATACCATCCTGAACACACCTGATATCAGAAGCTAAGCAGGGTTGGGTCTGGTTAGTACTTAGATGGGAGATAGTCTAACTTTATTAAAGGAAAAGTGGAATGTCAGTGGTAATATAAGCTTTTTTATGGATATAAAGTGTAAGAAAAAAAATAAAGTCATTGTCAAGAATTTGGAATGGCTTTCACAAAAAAATAGAAGGCATGATATTATTGTTGGCTATTTAATTAATCAATTAATTAAATATAACATTTCTTCATGCTTTAGATTATTGCAAATCTACATGCAGCACATAAATACAATAGGCAAAAAATGTATATGGGCATGCATACATATATCCATGAGCTCATGCGCTCATGCACACACACACACACACACACATACATTACCTTTTCGTAAAAATGGAATATGGTCATCCTGAATCACACCTCCATTACCATGATTCTGGAAATACTGTGACTCCCAAGAGTGATTTTTGAGCAAACCTAATTCATGGAGTTCATATTCTGCAGGTGACAGACAGCAGATGAATATTTATTTTTATCTGATCAATGTTCAGAATACACCCAGAGTGAAATCTTAGCACATGTATGTGGCCATCATTTCTAAAGCATTATGTAATAGGAAGCACAGTCACACCCATGACAATAAATACCTGAGTTGAACTTGGGTGTGTACATTTTGGAGTAGTTCTAAGGAGAATAGAATTATGCATGACTCTTACTTTACAGGTGAGACCCTCCTTAGGGGTAAAACTGAATACATTAATGAAGAGATGGAGAATGAGAAAGTCAGAGGAAAATGGAGGACAAGCACAGGTGTGCTTATACACCTAGGATCCTGCATGAAGAATGCGTGGAGAGACATGAGAATTTGAAAGGCGAATACTCCAACAGAATAAAGTACCCTGAGCAGTCATTCTCTGGAAAGGGATATCATTATTGCCAAGGTGAGGTCTCTAAGGAGTAACATCAGCATCACGTGCAACTTGTTAGAAATGCAAAATATCTGGCCCCTCCTCAGACTACTGAAGCAGAAACTCTGGGGGTGGAATCTGTGTTGTAACAACTCCTTAATGTGATTCTGATGGTGCTCCAGTTTAAGAACCTTTGATCTATAGTCCATATTTTTGTCATCTTGTAACATAGAACACAAGAGTTACATGGTCCATAAAATATGATGTCCTATATTACATGGTTCCAAGATACAGGATGTTCAAGAGAACACAAGAGGGCCTCCCTGGTGGTGCAGGGGTTAAAGACAGTGCTATCAAGCTATAGCTAGCCATTGCAGTACCAGTTCAATCCCTGGGCAGGGAGCAACCCACATGGCTTAGCAGACCTCTCCAGCCTCACCTGCTGCTTCTCTCAGCAGTGTATTTCAGTACATCTGCCTGTTCTGCTCCCCACTTTCTCTCTGGTGAATCTCCTACACACACCTCTGACTTACACCCCAGTACTTGTATGCATAAATAAATAAATCTTTAAAAAAGAGAAAGAGAGCAAACACAAGATGTTACAAGAGAACACAAGAAGAATGTAAGAAATTTGAAGCTTCCCAGGAAAGTTGTTTTTGTTTTAGGATTTTTGGGTTTTTTTGCTAAATTTAAAGGGGAAATGTAAAGTGGTAAGCATGCACAAGTAATAAGATATTAGGAACATTTACCTTAGGATATAACTTTTCCTTGTACAATTAGAGATGTAGTTTGAAGTCTAAATACCACCGGGAGGTGCATACAAAGGGCTAAAATTGCATTAAGGTGCAAGTTACCAATATAAATTCATTCTGATGGAGGAAATAAGAAAAGTGCACAAAATCCTTGAAAGAAGGCCAAACCCAACTTCCTGAGACCACCATTAAAGGAAAGAAAACATACTAGAGGAAAGCAGCCCAAGAACCTTACGGTAATAATGTCATGATAGCAATCTTTCAAACTAGGAATTGAAGTTTGCCAAAAATAAGCATGTGAGGTCCAGGTAAAAATATCTCTCATAATATTCTAGATCTGGATGTTAGCAAATTCTGAATGCATGGCAAAAGCATGAGTTGAGAGGGCAATACTTTTCCTACTACTTAGAAAGAATACAATTCTGTCCTGGTACAAGAAATTTATGTGGCCGATAAGGAATTCCTAGTCTAAAGTTCTTACCTCAAAAACAGTTCTTCCAGCCTGGATTCTATAATAAAGATCTATCTCTCCCTGATGTTCACTGGTTTTTCTGGGTGTGTGTGTATGTATGTGCATGTATGTGCTGGAGGTGTAGGTGTAGGGGAATCGAACCATAAAGAGTAGAAAATATTCACATTTCCTTCTCTAAGCCCAAGTCTCTCTCTTAAGTCAAAGATACCTGTTTCTTTGCCTAATCTGACTCGGCCTGGCCTAGTCTACCCTCACTTATTTGACTCTAAACCATCTCTTAAATGACTCTTGGAAGATTTTATATCCAATCTCTTACTCACTTAAAGATAAACAGAGATTGGACTAGATTTAAAGAAAAATAATGTCTGGATAAGTCAGAAAATAGATGACAAAAACAGAGCTGGAAAAGGAAAAATTAAAGAATATTTTTGTTATCATTTTAAGGACATAACATTCATCATCAGCTAGTATGTTTTACTGAGCAAATTTTTCCCAGAGATGCATTCCAAATGCTTCAAACAAGGCTCTGAGAAAATATTTTCAAATAATTTCTAAGGATATGCAAATATGAAAAGCAATATTTTATGTTTCCATTTCAAAATGTGATTTCATGTAGAAAAACAATGTAAGCCTAGTAAAAGAGATGAATAGGAATATAAACTAACCAACAAAGTAAGAAAAAAGCCATAAAAGTATATCATATAATTAAATTATACACTGAAATAGTAAATTTAAAGTTTTCAATGCAGTGTTTGTCAGTAAGAAGAAGCCAGGTTTGACTGTTTATTAATAGTGGTGCTTACCAATTGCTTGAAGTCTTTGAAACCATCTGGCAGAGTTTGGGAAAAAATTGGGAAATGTTGGATTTGAAGCTCCAATTAAATCTAATAAAACCAATAAATCCTAAAGGAGAAAGAATATCGTTTTAACCACTGTTACCAAAACACCTTTCATACTCACCTACGAAAAAAAAAATCAGTCAAAATTAACTGCATTTTAATAATTGAGAATAATATGAGCAGTTGTATAAATGAACAAGTTTAATAACATGATAAGATAACTATTTTTAGAGAACTTTTTAAAACTTGCTTACACAGTGTGGATAAATAACAAATGATAGGTCCAAATGGATATCATTAAGGATAACATAGGAAGAAGCTAGTTTGACAAATATTTCATAGTTGTTTTTTTTAAAGCGTAAATTTGCTATATTTTCCAGACAGGAATCCAAGCCTATCTGATCTTTTATTCCATTCTAATTAACCATTTTCCTTAGTCAATAGTGATTCAACTGCATATAGGTGAGTACTTGGATAGTAACTATTTATTCCTCAAAGCAGTTAATAAGAAAAAATGTTTTCACTAGGAGATACATAATCGTATATCTCTGGATTTCCACTTCATTTTCTATCAAATGAGGAATTCAAACTTTCTAATCACTAAAAGTCTCTTCTGGTTATAAGCCTCTATGATTAAACCAGTGTTTCTTAATTGTTTGAGCTGTAAAATAACCAGGAGGCCTGAGGACTCCTTGAAGACTATCCCCCAGATTAAAAACTCCTCATTTATACAAGTGAGATAATGTGTGGGTAAATATCTAGCATAGACCTTGACACATAATAAATATTTGCAGATTTTAGGTATATAGTATCTACTAACTCATTAATAATGATTAAATACATTCATTGGAAGAAAAAGGCTTGTTTAAAATAGGATTATATTCAAAGGTTGGATAAGCTACTAAGAGCCTTAATTATCACTATGGATTCATATATTTGGACTGTTTAATAAATGTGTCCCTCCTACTGATCCACAGGTCTCTCCTCTTCAAAAGTTTCACAGCCACTTGGACACAAAAAAAGGCTGACTGAGGTGCTAACCATATTCCTCTGACCCCATTAAGAGCTACAAGTGGACAATAAGATGGAGAAAATGTCCATATCAGATGTGTTAGAGTCATAGAGGATATTTAATACAGCAAATTGGACTCATAAGGTGAAGGTCGTTGATAGGGCAAAGGACAGAGATGGGGGAAGGAGGTTAGGAATAGGCTATCTATTCAGAGAGTGAGATGCAGGCTGGGTGGAGATACAGAGGTAGTATGAGGTTCCCAGCTGGGGCTAGTAAGGACTTGAGGGCTGAGTAGAAGCCAAGTATGAGAAGAGAGTCAAAGTAGGGAGGGAATTCAAGAGTGGGGTGAAAGACTAGGCATGGGCTGTGGGCCAGGAATAAGGCTGAAAATGAGACCTTGTGTAGCACTCATTGGTAAGAAGAGCAGGGTTTTAAGCAGCATCAAAGCATCTCCAAACCCATGTCAAAAACACCACCTGAAAACTGATACATTAAAATATCACAGACACAATTAAGAGTCCCCCAAGGAAATTCTTCACTACCCTCCCTACACTATGTCCCACACTTTCTACACCTTCCAAGACCCCAGCATCCTTGTATTTTATGGAGACTTCAAACAAGGGATATTTTTCTCTCGACCTCTAGACAGTATTGAGGCAATATACTCCTATTGGACTGAACCGAATCTGATGTTTCCTTAATGTCATTTTTTTACATCATTTTAATTAAGCTCAAATATAACTTCTAACCCAGAATCATTCTTTTTAGCTCTGGGATTCCTCAAAAATCCAATGCCTGCCAAGGAATGTTCTATTATAAACACTCTGCTCCAAGGATACTATAGCATTTTTTGGTCAGTGACTGGTGTAACTGTGGCTTCCGGTGAAGCAGCAGAGCCTGTAAGTTAAAGCACCAGAGAGATTACACGAACTCACCATGCCATGCAGCTGGGTGGTATCTCTCGCTCCAGGTGGGTGTGGGGTCGATGCCATCTTCGAAGCTAGGTGCTTAGACCCATACAGAGAGTCACTATAAGACCAGTGAAGAAATGCCTCTTCCCCATCAAAGAAAATGAGCTGGAGTGAGAGATCTGGCTTGGAGTCTGAAATATTCTGGTAACAAACACAGTAAAGAGAAAGTTAAAATTCTGCAAGGATTAAAAAAAAACAACAGGCTTTCCTACTCACTGGGAAAAAAGGTAGAGATACCATTAAGAACAGAAAGCTACTAGAGCAAGGGAAAATATGCCAACATTTATTTTGCACCACTTCCTCCAAAAACTGTCACCCCTCCCATAGTTCACACATATAAACCTCATCTTCTTGCACTGCTTCTGAAAACAGAAGTCTTATTTTTTTTTTCCAACTCCAGAGAGAACCCTGAAATGATTAGCCTGCTCTGGCAGACACCTCCCAGTGTGTTCTCAGAGGACGTACTGTTTTGGCTTCAGGAGAGAAACCTGTCAGCTGAAAGCCTTCAGCTGTTAGTCCCTTTAGGATTTGTCTCAGCCAATGAGTGGGAGTAAGGTCCTATATCCAAAGATCGGTCTAAGCAGCTCCTGAGGGCTCTCTCTACAGGGCCATTCCACCTCCAGAGCCCCCCAGGAGTGCACTGAGGTTGATGTTGAATCTGTAGTGCAGTTCAGCTCTTCCTCTGATTAATCCATGTCTCCCCTCCCTGGCACAGGTGTTGAGCCAAAGTCACACCCTAAGGAATGACTTAGTTGCTAAACTCCAGTCAGAGTGTGTCTCCCAGGAAATCCAACCTGAAAGAAAAGCAAGTCTTTTTTGCATGTCCACTCATTTAAGTCAGCAGATTTTTATTGGGTCTAAGTTCAAGATTCTGCCTTAGGAATGCAGCCGGGACAAAAAGAATAATAATTACAGCCATTCCCTTGAAAGAACCTATATTTTAGTTGGGTTAGGGAAATATAAATACATGAGCACAACAAAATGTGCCAAGGATCACAAAGGCAATGTAAAACTCCTTTAGAAACTGGATAGAATAGAGACAGAATGCTTGGGTGGCGAGGAAGATGTTTTGGAAGTGACAGTATTAGTGCAGCACTTGGAAGGGTAAGTAGGATTGTGATCCACTTTATACCTTCCACCATCTTACAACTCTCACATTTCAGATTAGTCCTTCTGGTACTCTAACCCCAGAAGGAATCCCTAGTCTATTGAATCATTCACTTTTTCACAGTCCTTCAAACCCATCAGGTCTTCACTTCACTCCATATTCAGCTTAAATGACAGATCAGTCATTCTCATCACTCTCTTGCATGCATGCTCAACTCCACACCTGCCTTTACCTTGGTCAAACTGACATGGCAGAAACAGAAGTCCAACTCTGCCTGTCTTGTGCCTGAATTCAAGCCACTGAAGCTACTGCAGAAAAACACACAATCCTTCACTCTCTCAGCCTCTCTCGGGTCCCCAGAGCATGTGCTCCCATTGGGCCCAACTTAATCAGATGCTTCCATTCTTTATTATGGATGTATGGATGTAACCTGTCCTCCTCTCTCTGAAGAGATTTTTTTTAAAGATTTATTTATTTTTATGCATACAAGAACTGGGGTACAGGCCAGAGGTGCGGAGGGTGAGAGGATTCACCAGAGACAGAGTGGGGAGCAGAACAGGCAAATTGAATGAAATACCCTGCTCAGGGGAGGAGCAGGTGAGACAGGAGAGGGTGCTGCACTATGTAGGTTGCTCCCTGGCCGGCCGGGGATTGAACTCCTGCTGCAGTGGCTGCAGATAGATTCATAGTGCTCTGCTTAATCCCTTGAGCCACTAGGGGGGCCCTCTAAAGAGATTTTTTTTAAAGATATATTTATTTATTTATACAAGAACCGGGGTACAGGCCAGATGTGCGGGAGAGTGAGAGAATTCACCAGAGACAGAGTGGGGAACAGAACAGGAAGAATGATGAAATACACTGCTGAGGGAAGCAGCAGGTGAGACAGGAGAGGTCTGCTGCTCCATATGGGTTTCTCCCCACGATCAAACCTACACTGCAGAGACTGTGGACAGCTTCACAGTGCAGCACTCAACTGCCTGTGCCCCGAGGGAGGCCCCCTGAAGAGATTTAATAGTGTACTCTAAGTCACCTTCTTGTACTTTAAGTACTCTGAGTACTTCCTTGTACTCTAGTTTTTCTGAATTCATTTTCCATTTGTTTTGATTGCTTGCTTTCATGCTTGAGACTCAAATATCTGGTCACCCTTTGGGTTCATCCATATTAAACAATAAGGTACAAAAATACCGATTAGGGACCTGTCTTTTATCCTCTTCCTGGTCCCAGGAAGAAGTCCCATCGCCTTGCCTTTAGCAATGACAAAGGTGAGAGATCAAGCCCACTTGCACAAGCACATTTCCAGCCTCTGCTTGTGTCACATCTAGAAGCATCCCATTGGCCAAAATAAGTCAAATACCCAAGACCAAAGTCAAGGAATGAGGAAGTACAACCTGTTCCAGTGAGAGAACACAACAAAGCTAGAGACAAAAGATGTGAATGTGTATGTAATCTTACTGCTGGAGCTAGGAGGGATGCAAGGAGCTGGGACAATTACATCTTCTACTATCTAGTCTTTTCCACCACTACTCTCCTAATCCATGACAGTCAAAGAACTTAAAATAAATCCTTCATGCAAATTTAAAGATCTAACGGAAGAATACGTCTTATTCTCTCAAAAGTTTTATTCAGAACCAGTATTTTTCCCTAATTGTCTTAGAAGAGCTACTTAAGACATATGTGTACTTATTTTATTTTTTTAATGAGGATCTCCACCTAACAACCTTTTCATCCCTTTCTATTTCTGCTTCCCCCCAAAGCAAGTATGAGCTACATGGAGAAAGATAAAGAATCTCACCAAGAGAAAACATACCCTCCACACAGACTATGTCTTTAAGCCATATATCATTTCATGTCCTTATAAAAGAAATGAAAATATGAAAAATTTAACTTTTATATCAGCTTCTGAACTCTCTGACTGAACTTGTAGGTAAGGATGCTAGTTAAAAGCAGGAAACAACAGGGCCTCCCTGGTGGTGCAAAGGGTTGAGACACAATCTATGAAGCTATCCACAGCCACTGCAGCACAAGTTCGATCCCTGGCCAGCCAAGGAGCAACCCACGGGATGCAGCAGACCTCTCCTGACTCGCCCGATGCTCCCCTCAGCAGTGCATTTCAGTCAGTCTGCCTGTTCTGTTCCCTGCTCTGTCTCTAGTGAATCCTCTCACTTCCCTCACCTCTGGCCTGTACCTCAGTTACTGTATGCATGGATAAATAAATCTTTAAAAAAAATGCAGGATAGAACATGGGACAAAGACTTTATAGAAGGTTCATAAAGCAAAACATAATGAAAAAACAGTGGAAAGGATACTGAGAGGTTGTAAACAATTCTTGCTTTCTTCAAGTTCAGCATATCCAACAAAAATAGAACCAAATATCTCTATTACTTTCATTACAAGATAAAACTTTTACTTCTTTACCCCCATTGTATCAAAGGCTGGCCCCTACATAAAGCTTTGAGGGAAGAAAAAAGGCATTTGCTGCCTGCAAACAAAGTTTTTTGTTTTGGCTTTATTGTGTTTACTTGGTTATGAGTGATATCTGAACAAAATGTCTTCATCTAGCTTAGCACTTTTTTCCAATATACCCTTAAGAACACAGAGGCTGAAATAACATCTGAGAGTCCCAGAGTATTTTGAGCTGAAAACATAACAAAAGATGGCTATGCTTCATAAAATTGAGCCGAGATTCACAGATAATGACAATAATGCATTTCTGCTTCATGCTTTTCATCTTGATGTGTTTGAATTACCCACTCTCTGCTTCAGAGCAACTTTGCAGCAACTCCCTTCCCCCACCACAGGAGCCACCATCTCTCAGATTAGAAGGTTGTGTTATTTTGTGGCTCTATAAACAGGAAGCAATAGACACAGTTCTCCTACGTATGCCTGTACCATCCTTCCGCCTTTCATTTCTCCATGAAGAAATGCTGCCTGTAATTTAATGTGAATTTGCAATTGAGAAACCAGGTGCCAACTATGAATTCACTATCACATTAATTTCTCAAAGTTAATATTTTAAGGAATGTAGTCTTCCAACTAATATTTATCCAACCTCATCTTATTTTGCAACAAAGAACAAAATGTACCCAAAACCTACATTTCTAAATGACCTCCTCACTGTCCACCACCCAAGGATTCTAGAGTTCCTCTGAGTTATTGCTAACATGTTTTATCTCAAGAAGCTATTAGAGGGAAACAGATACCTTCAAAGAGAGAAGTTTCTTGTCTAAGGCCCGGGCAAGTTCCAACATCATTGCACATGGCACAGCTGAGTCTATGGCTCCCACAAACACCCTGTTTTCCCAATGGGGAAAATACTTGGAGTCATAATGACAGGCGAGGACCAGGTGGCGCTTAGCAGTGGGATTGAGGGTACTGATGATATTGGAGAAAGACCGGTACCCATAGGGTGTCCAGCTCAAGAAGGTGTCTACTTCCAAGACCCAGTCAGCTTGAAGTCTCTGAATTCTCTGCATGATGTGCTGATCAAAACAAAATATAACACATCAGGTCTAGACACAGTTTTCATTTATTAACAATTTTTAAAATTTTTATGCAATAGTTTTTAAAGTTAAAAATGTAACATATGGTTATTATATTAATAGCAAGGATGTTTAAGAAAATATGAATCCTCTGCCTCCCCTATAAGCTTCCCCTTGCCAATCAATCCTGACCAAGTGTTAATATTAACAACATTAATAGTCTAATACACATTATTTCCCCTTCTCCCTGTACTTCTCAATGCACTTACACATGAACACATATGTTTGGCAGAGCAGTGTATATTTTTATAGGACTAGAATCCTACTTTTCAGATTATTCTACCCCTTGCTTGTCTCACTCAATAATATGTATTTGACATTCTACATGTCAGACAATAGAGATCCAGTTCAGTAGGTGCTAAAGTTCATTTTTAATATTTCTAGGAGGCATGTTTGAGGCATGTTAGGATCCTACATGTCTCAACTAGCACTCTAAGATTTTGGGGGGCTAGAACTGCAAATGGTAGGTCTTTTTGTCCCCGGGATTTAGCATGTGCCCCAAGTCCAGCAAATACTTTGTTAACATCATGAAGTCTAACAAAATATACTCATGCTGGTCTGTTAAGGATAACATAGGGAGAAATCCCTAACAAGGAGGTGGTTGGAGGATAGTTGGGTGTCCTGCCTATTCTAAAAGTCAATAAGCAACTTTGAACTATATGACAATCAAGTAGTTTTCACTCTACATTCAAGCTAGGCCCAGACCCAATGCAAGTGCTGGTAAGAATAAGAAAGAATCTATTTTCCCACCTCTCCTGATCATTGTGGGACTTAAGAGCAACATAGTATCTGATAGGAAAAATGCAGCAGATGGAAAAGAAACACCTCTTTCCAGGGTTAGAGGTATCTTCTTTTCAAATTTAGAATTTGTGGTGTGAGAAGTTATGGGTGAGTTCATTCTGTCCCATATGCCCTCTCCTATTTTTAGTCTTCCATTATCTCATTTTTCTGACCATATTCCACTTACTTGGTTTTGAAATATTATGTACATCTTTGTAAGTTACCTTGAAAATGTTTTTTTTTAATTCATACAATAAACTAACCATCAATATAATTGGTGATTTGCTCCACAATTAATATCCAGTGGAATGGACCTTGAGGTGAAAAATAACTTATAATAACTGGAAATGATTGGGAGATCTTTTCCCCCAAGGAAATACACAATATTCTAGCCCAGCCAAGACTTGTGTGGTCTGCTTTGGCTGATGTGACACAGCACGTAGGCAAAGGCCTTAGAAAAACCTTAGGAAAGGCCTTTGGAAGAACAGAACTAAATCCAAGAAGGACAGCATTCTACAGTTAATCCTGCAAATGCAATGCCAAATAAATAAACAGTCCCCAAATAAACAATAGCGAGTATACCAGTAACTTGCCTTTTAGTACATCTACCAGTTGTCTTTTCCTATAATAAAAGGAAGTGTTTCTAACTTTTTTGACATTATCATAATATTAATATATTAATATATGACACAGAATATTTGTAATTTCAAAGGGACAATATCACCATGTTTCCAAAATAAGCTTTCCTCAGAATATGAAGAAAAGCTATCCCCAAACTTTGGGGAAATTTATTTTCTTCATAAAAGGGGTCATCTGAAAAAAAAACCACATATATTCCAGAACATCTGGTATCCAGATGATGAACTACTCCATAAGTCTTCAACACCAATAACAGCTTGAATGCTTACCCCATGAATTGAGTTTAAATATATATATATTTATATATGTTAGTTTGGCTCAGTTGATGTCTCACACACAAACTTGTGTCTTAAATACTAAACAGGTCTTGGCCATAATTTCTGATATCTCTGTTGATGCTAAAATCCACAAAATCATCAACAAATGCTCCAAGAAAGTTCTCCTTGAGGTAATGATTTTTTTCAGAATAAATATTTTTATTTATCTTAGCAACTAATTTCTTTATAAACAATCAAATTGGCTGCACAATCTAATTAGGTCACCAATATTCGTTGCTGTTGTGCTTTTGGCTTAAAGACTCAGTCTGCAACTTCCCTGTATAATGCTCTAGACTAAGTGCCAAAAACCGCTGCTCTTCTCACTAGAATGCCTTTAAGCAGGGAGTGCTAACTCTGGAGGGGTATCTAAAGCAGCTGCGCTGCCCTAACACTGGGTAGCAAAAAAGGCTGAGGCCCAGGTGGTATGCTAAAATGCAATCCAGAACACACTGTGTTTTGGATTACTATACATTTTTTTAAAAGATTTATTTATTTATACAAAAACCGGGGTATAGGCCAGATGCACAGGAGGGTGAGAGGATTCACCAGAGACAGAGCGGGGAACAGAACAGGCAGACTGATGAAATACACTGCTGAGGGAAGCAGCGGGTGAGACAGGAGAGGTCTGCCTAGCCATGTGGGATTCTCGCCAGTCGGCTGGGATCGAACCCATGCCGAAGAGGCTGAGGACAGATTCACAGCACAGCACTAAACTCCCTGCACCACCAGGGGGGCCCTATACATTTTTTTAAATGGGAAAGGGAGAAAAACCAAAAGAAATGGAGAATAATTGCTTTTTGTTTGTTTGTTTAAAGATTTATTCATCCATGCATACAAGAGCTGGGGCACAGGCCAGAAATGTGGGGGTGAGAGGCTTCACCAGACGCAGAGTGGGGAACAGAACAGGCAGATTGACCAAAGTATACTGCTGAAGGGAGCAGCGGGAGAGTCAGGAGAGGTCTGCTACACCACGTGGGTAGCTCCCTGGCCTGCCAGGGATTGAACTCATGCTACAGAGGCTGCAGACTGCCTCATAGTGCAGTACTCAACCCCCTTCACCACCAGGGAGGCCCATTAATTGCTTCTTAGTAAGACCTTATCATCCTAATTTTTAAATTCATTTTCATTCTGCCTCAGCTAGAAATCATAGTCATACCCCAAAATTTCAAACTCCAAATTTTACATTAAAATCTCTCCTGAAAGGATTAGGGTCAAAATAAGGGGGGGTGCAATTGTATGGGGAATATAACCAAAATGAAAATGCATACATTGAGCAAAAATGAAAAATGATGTAAAAATTATATGAAATAAAATATTTAAAAAAACAATAAAAATAAAATCTCTCCTGAAATTAAAATATCTCCTTAAATTAAAATATTGTAAAAATCTAACAGGCAATGTTAAGCTCATGGATTAAAGACAACAAAAATGCAGGTGATGAGATATTGTTCCCAATATCAGTCCTTGAACGGGAGTCCTAGAAATGCACATCTTTATTGTTAACTGCAAGTTAATTCACTAACCAATTTGATATCAAGTCCTCATTATTTTGGAATTTGAGGGTCTTTTCTAACTTTAAAGTTCATAACCTATAATCTATATTTATAATTTTTTAAAAAGATTTATTTATTTATGCATACAGAGCTGGGGTACAGGGCAGAGATGCAGGGGCTGAGAGGATTCACCAGAGACAGAGCAGGGAACAGAACAGGCAGATTGACCAAAGTACACTGCTGAGGGGAGCAGCAGCGGGCTAGACAGGAGAGGTCTGCCTCACCATGTGGGTTGCTCTCTGGCTGGCTGGGGATCAAACCTGGCTGCAGAGGCTACAGACCGCTTCATAGTGCAGTACTCAACCACTTGCACCACCAGGGAGGCCCTATATTTAAAATTTATTACTTGTAAACTATGAAACATCAAGTGCTCAAAGGGGCCTTGGTAGAAAAAAAAAAAAAACCTGCCCACCATTCTTGTTTGAATTTAGTTCTGCGTGTAAAGTACTTGCCCCAGTCAAATGAAGACCATCAGTGCAGTCCCCTCATGATCACTCAGTGCCATCTACCTCATCTTTAAAAGCTAAACCCCTTTGCCTTCTACCATTTAGGTGACAGCTCTCTAAAAATGATTGGTGATTCTCATCTCAAAAAAATCATAAAATTTAATCTCTGAAGTGAGATTTCTGACACAACCATTCTGAACCAGGATTCCTGCTATGTCATCAAGACCACATCCAGGTAGCCCAGCAGCCGTCCCTGACTCATTCCACAATACCATCAATAAATTTCCTATTGCCTCCAACCCATATACATACATGGAGCAAGCTATTGTGGATGAGTAACATTTTTAAATAAATACATATTTTTAAAATCACAATACTATGCATATTATTTATGTTATATATTCTGTTGAAGCTAAATAAAGATCACAATCGTAACATTTGATGTGTTTATGGACTTCTAGAGCCTGCAGGCAAGGAACCTCATGTCTGAAGTATACATATATCTTTCTGGATCTATATGACTTTCTGAGCAAAAGGTAGGAGGAACTGAAAAAGGTTGAGTTGAGTTGAGTGAGCATTATAGACCTAGGTGTTTTGTGATGAGAATCTGAGGATTTTGGAAAGCCCCAGTAAGTACCCTGAGTTTCTTTTAAGCATGCGCTTGGGAGATGAGCCTAGAGACTCATTGAGAACAAATATACAGAACAGGTTCCAGGCAGCCACTGCTCTCCAGTGATAGGATGGAGAAGGCAAACTTGCATTCTTGGTCTCCAGACTTGCATTCTTGGTCTGCAGACTTGCAGACTTGGTCTCCATTCTGGACTCATCACTACTATGTGTATAACTTTATAAAGTTATGTAGGGCCTCCCCTCGTGGCTCAGGCGGTTGAGCGTCACGCTGTGAAGCTGTCCACAGCCTTTGCAGTGTGGGTTCTATCCCGGCCGGCCGGCGAGGGTCCCACATGGCACAGCAGACCTCTCCTGTCTCAGCCGCTGCTCCCCTCAGCAGTGTATTTCGGTCCTTCTGCCTGTTCTGTTCCCCGCTCTGTCTCTGGTGGATCCTTTCGCCCTCCCACACATCTGGCCCGTACCCCGGTTCTTGTATAAATAAATAAATCTTTTAAAAAATTTATTTATTGGGCCTCCCCGGTGGTGCAGCGGTTGAGCGCTGGGTTGCGAAGCTGCCCGCGGCCTCTGCAGCGCCGGTTCGATCCCCGGCTGCTCCCCGGCCACCGGAGGAGGGTCCCACATGGCGCGCAGACCTCCCCTGCCGGCCGCTGCTCCCCTCAGCAGTGTACTTCGGTCCTTCTGCCTGCTCTGCTCCCCGCTCTGGCTCTGGTGGATTCTCTCACCCTCCCGCGCTTCTGACTGTACCCAGTGCTTGTATAAACAAAACAAACAAACAAACAAATAAATAAAACATGCCTCTATAAAAAAAAAAATTATTTATTTAAAAAATAAATAAATCTCTTTAGAGGGCCTCCCTGGTGGCACAAGGGATTAAGTACAGCACTACGAAGCTATCTGCAGGCACTGCAGCAGGAATTCAATCCCTGGCAGGCCAGGGAGCAACCCACATGGTGTAACAGACCTCTCCTGTCTGGTCCATCACTCCCCTCAGCAGGATATTTCATTCATGTTGCCTGTTCTGCTCCCCACTCTGTCTCTGGTGAATCCTCTCACCCTCCACACCTCTGGCCTATACCCCAGTTCTTGTATAAATAAATAAATCTTTAAAAAAAAAAAGAGTTGGGAACTTAGTGTCCAGTCTGATAGTGAATGCCAGAGATTACATTTATTTGGATTAACGTGTATTTCTTAATCCAGTATAGACATTTACTCACAATTGTATAACTTTTTTAGTTGCCTATTTGAGTGAATAAGAAGATGAGATGACAGATCTCACTTTTAGACAACTCAGAACTTCAGGCATACCATTATCTCCGTGTGAAGACAGAGACATCTGATAACCTTTAGGTCTGTGTGCTGTGCTCTCACCTGGCGAGCAGCAAAGCTTCCAGGGGATCCAGGATACCGTTCTATCAGCAGGGGCCTTAAGTCATTTTGCCACATTTCAGAAATGCTGGTGCCTTCTGCGACTCGCCGAAGAGATGACGAATTCAAAATGGCTGGTTGGTGATAATTCTGAGGATTAAATAAAATTACTGAACTGGCTATCATTTCATAATACAGTTACAACATTTCCTGAGACATTTGCAATTGAAAATATTTGCATTGAACCTCAAAATAAAGGGCCAGCTCTTGTGTCATGCAAAGCAAATAAAACTACTCAAACTTTAGAATTGGCCCCTTAACATCTAAAAAATTAAATTAATTGTTTTAGCAGCTTATTTTAAAAACAAAATTATCATAATGCTTTGAATTTGAGAATTAATCTTTTTTTTTAATGATTTATTTTATATAAGCACCTGGTACAGTCAGAGGCGCGGGAGGGTGAGAGAATTCACCAGAGCCAGAGCAGGGAACAGAACAGGCAGACTGACAAAGAAATACACTGCTGAGGGGAGCAGCGGGCACGGCAGGAGAGGTCTGTCATCCCATGTGGGACCCTCACTGGCGGCCGGGGATCGAACCGGCACTGCAGAGGCTGTGGGCAGCTTCCCAGCCCACAACCGCTGTGCCACCAAGGGAGGCCCTGAGAATTAATCTTTAACATTATTACTTATGTAACTTTTAGTGATTTCTGGTACAATTCTATAAAGTTAAGATTTAAAATTATCAATTGTTGATCTCCTGTTCTTAAGAAAATCCAAAACTATAGCCAACAAAACAATGTGTTTTTATTTTTAGCATAATTGTTTTTTCTACTAATGTTCACATTCTTAGGTACACTTATGTAATTTAACCAGCTAATAAACATAACATTCAAATTTGTATTTTGAATATTACTTCCTCCATGCTGTGTTTTCTTATGACACAAGTAATGATGGATTATTCACTCTTACATGTTTATCAGGCAATGAAGAGTAAAGGTTACTCCTCCCTATAGGGAAGTGAGTGGTTCACCCACTGATTCCGCCCTAAGGGAAATGATGACTGTAACATAAGGATATTAATTTCTTTGGTAAGCAAAACAGAAATTGGAGGAGGTTTGTTTTGTTTACAGCCCTTTTCAGGATCAGTGTTAGTTGAGTATGTCTGAGTAAATCACAGTTATTTTCACTCCGGTGAAACACTCCATGTGGCTACTAGGAAACTGTGGAATTAGGGGATGCTCTATGCCTAATTACTTATCTGCACTTTGATACGCTGTGTCACTCTCAAAGAGCATGGGCCACAGATTCAGGCAGATCTCAGCAATCTCTCAACTCAGTTTCCTACCACTTACCGTAACTCTGGCAAGGTTACTCAACTTCATTAAAGGTCAGTTTCGTCATCTGTAAGATGAAGGTGATAACACCTAATTCCTAAGGTAACTATAATAAGGTGAGCAATATATGCAAAATGTCATAGTAAACACTCAATAATTTTTAGTTCTCTTACCTTCAGTCAAACTCTAAAGAGGGATAGAATTTAGCGCTAGAAGAAATTACCTAGTCCAACCTCCTTGCTTTATGTCAGTGGAAACTGAGGTTCACAGAAATGAGCTGATTTTCCCACTGTCATAGGAGAGTTACAATAAACCCATAAAAAGATCCCAGTTCCATGGATTTCCAGATGCTAGCTAGTTCTACTCCTTTCTGCGTCACCAATGTGCTTGCAGTGGGCTCCCGGATGTTGATGCAGTACCTGTACATCTTAAGATTTACTTGTTTACTGGTGATACATTTTATTTATTTTTTATTTTTTAAATATTCATTTACCCATACATACAAGAACTGGGGTACAGGCCAGAGTTGCGGGGGGTAAGAGGATCCACCAGAGACACAGTGGGGAACAGAACAGGCAGATCGACTGAAATACACTGCTGAGGGAAGCAGCGGGCGTGTCAGGAGAGGTCTGCTGCACCATGTGGGTTAGCTCCCTGGCTGGGGATCGAACTCATGCAGCAGTGGCTGCGGACAGCTTCATAGGCTGTGTCCCAACCCCTTGCGCCACCAGGGAGGCCCTCGTGATAAATTTTAAAATACATATCCTTAACAAATTTATTACTGTAGACTTTAAATTTCAGGACCTAAGTCCTTATGTTAACTCCCAAACAGCACTTTGAGAAGAATGTAGAAACTAAATGACAGAACAAAAGTGTGAGATGGGAAAAGCAGAAAATGGAGGCAAGAAGTCAGAAGGCTTACAGGGTTAATGTTACCTAACCTGGTCAACAGGAGCCTGCCTGGCCTCTCCTGCTGCCTAACAAACCCCATGAAGAGCCACCAGCCCAGCTCCCCATGATTCAGTTTTGCCCGCACCCACCCTTCCAGGGCCCTAAAGCAGAGTGAGGCTCCACCCACTTGGGGCCTTAGCATTGCAGTGCCTTCCACCTGAAGGCTTTTCCCTTCAGCTTTCCCTGGCAAACTCCTGCACATTTCAGGCTCTTTGTCTTCAACTCTTTGCCTTGCATTTGAGGCCACTTCCTTGGCTAGCATGTGGAAGCTCTCATTCCTGCATACAGCATGTCAGCTCCAGGAGGACAAGCCCTCTCTCTCTTTTATTTTCCACTCTACCCAGAGCCACGCAGTGCCCAACTCATGTTAAGCTCTCAATAAACTCTGGGTGAATTCATCTAGTAAGGAATCGACAGATGTACTATCTTTCTACAGCTACGTGCACTAAGACTATGTTTCCATAACAATAAAGTAAAGTGGGCATTTTGGCCATCATAAAGACCAAGTCAGTTGATGGCACTAGCAATTATAAAGATGGGGGAGATAGGGAGCTACCGTCACAAAGAACCAGGACAAAGAACCAGGAAATTCAGTGATTCCACATCGTGGGCTTTGTCCTGTATGTGATTTACAAGTGGATTAACTGGGATAGTCACTGCCATAATCAACTGTTGTGCCAAAGGCATTTCACCAGTGGCTCTATTTACTGTTCCATTTAATGCTAATTATTCTTTCCCAGAGCCTACTTAGTCACCAAGGACATTTCACTTCACGTCCACTCTGAAAAGAAATTAAGCTTGTGTTTAAACAGATGACTTGTGGAAGCTTGAAAGAATTCTTGAGAAATTAAAAAGAAAGCAGGAACAAAATAAATAAGCCTCTAGTATCTGCAGCTATAACAAATATTGTGGAAAAAATATAGCTGACAAATAACTCCAAAAATTGCTTGATGGATGAATGAAGGGTAAGTCCAGCAGTTAGGCCAGTTGATGGTCCCGACTAGAGACTCAGATGTGTTGTTTCTCAAGCTCCTGGAGCCATGAACTCTCTGTTTCCCTGGGGGTACAGAACCCCAGTGAAATCACAGAGATAAAAGCTTTCTAGTCAGTAAAGGATAGAGAAAGAAAAACAACCACACTCAATTAATTACTTATACCTTTCTATTCATTAAAGCACTGGATGGAAAAGCATTTGACCTCTCCAACCTAAATGGCATCCATTCGATTTTTATAGAGCCTTACTCTCAGAACTCAATAAATATAAAACTCTGTGGAGATGAGAGGAAGGAGTAAGAGACACCTGGAAAGAAAGCATGACCTGGGCGTGTGGATGGTAAATGAGGCAAAACTGTAGTGAGCCCACTGTTAAACGCAAACCCCCAATTTTTCTAGGTTTAAAATAGTTAACAGGCACTTAGATGAATTTCTATCGGTACAGACATTCTCAGAAGAACAAGTCTCTTTTACAGCCCCTGCCTTGTCTTTTTCAACCAGGCAGAAAGGACAATAAGTCTGCTTTGGGTGACAAGAATCTTTCTTTTTATAAAGTGTGAACCGATATCCTGAAGCATCTCCTCTAGGCTAATCACAGGGTGCCAGGCCAAAGAGGGTTTTAATTACATAATTTGTAGAGCCGGCCCAGCTTGCAGGAGACTTGAGGTCCCAGACCATTGATTTAAAAGGAGATCATTACAGAAGCACAGCCAGTTCCATTCCAGTTCCCACCCCATGTGAGTGCCTCCCAGACAGTGCTCAATTAACACCTGTCTACCTGCAAATTCAATGTTGCCAGCATTGATGGAACTTGTGTGTGTCGGATGCCACTGATAGCACTATTGCAATTGTGGAAAGGTTGGGAATTAATGAGATAAAGTTTTTTTAACTTTATCTATGCTAGCAGCCCTCTACCAAAAAGCAAAATAGTGCAGTGCTTCAGCACAAAAAGTTAAGCCCCAATTCCTGCTCCCTTACTTTTTAGCCGTAACATGGAAATGCTTCCTTGTCTGAAAAATGATTGGTCTAGTATTTACTTGCCAGATAGTAGAAGTTCCAAAATGGCACATTTTGTCTTTCTTTCCCTATCAAAATTTGGCCTACCTTCCACTGACCTTCCTGGCCCTGCCTTGTGGCATCTCCATTGCTGCTTCCAAAAGAAGAGCTAAGGACTTTTAGAACCATGGAGAAGGGAAACACTAAGGACTTTTAGAATACATGTGACTCCAGAACCAGAAGAATGTGACATGTTGGAAAGAGGTAAAACAGTTTGCCAGAGCTGACCTTGGAGGACTCCTAGGTAAGGCCAACTCTCTGGTTTGGGGTTCCTCTGTTCAAAGCATCTGCCCTTTCACCTCCACTATGACTTGAATTTTTCTCTTTCACCTTTGTGATAATAAAGGAAAACTCTACCAATGAAAATATATTAGGTTCCAGCTTTATGATAGAGAAAGATTAGAAATAACCTAAATATCTGAAAATTAAAGAATAGTTAAATTATGGGATGATGATGATTTATAATCATCAACTGATATTTTTAAGTAAGTTTTATTGGCTCAGAGAAATACTAATTCTAAAGTATTAAGAGACATAGCAAGATATGTATGCAGCACATATATGAAATATTTATATGAAATATTTGTGCTTGTTTATTTTAAAAACAATTAACTTTATTGGGCATTTACTATATGCCAACCACTGCACTAAGTGCTTTACATGTACAGTTCACGCAATTCACATAAAAACCCATGACACAGGTATAAATATCATCTCTGCAAAAAAAAAAAGATGGATGTATGTGTCTATATGTATATGTAGTATATATGGAAAGAGAGAGAGAGAGAACAAGACTAGAAATAAAAACATGAAAATGGTTAACAGCAATAATCTCTGAATGTGGGATTATAAATGAAAAAACTTGTCTTTTGAGGACACTTCTCTGTATTTTTCTGGTTTTCTAAAATGAGCACATGTTAACTGCATAATTGGGAGACTTCAATAAAATCTGTCCCCGGCTCTTCCGGCCACCGGCGGAGGATCCCACATGCACTAGAGCTCAACTGTAGTGCTCCTTTTAAAATACCTAGGAAGCCCTTTTTTTTTTTAAAAGATTTATTTATTTATTTATACAAGCACTGGGTACAGTCAGAAGCGCGGGAGGGTGAGAGGATTCACCAGAGCCAGAGCAGGGAGCAAAGCAGGCTGGACCGAAGTACACTGCTGAGGGGAGCAGTGGGCGGCAGGAGAGGTCTGCGCGCCATGTGGGACCCTCCTCCCGTGGCCGGGGAGCAGGCGGGGATCGAACCGGAGCTGCAGAGGCTGCGGGCAGCTTCGCAACCTGGCGCTCAACTGCTGCGCCACCGGAGAGGCCCCCTAGGAAGCCCTTTTAACGGGCAGCAGTCTTTCATATCTGAAGAAGGACTGATTTAGCAATATACCTTGAAACAGTTAGCTGACCAGGTTGTACTGAAGAGATGTGTCTCTACGAAAGGAACGGAATTGGGGATCAAGGAGAGGGAGCAGGAGTCAGGAGAAGTAACTTTGGAACATGAATCAATCCAGAATGACCTTTATGTTATAAGGAAGGCCAGGGAAAGGAAGAGTGGGGGAAGGAAAATAGTTTCCAAAAGCTATCTACTTATTTTGGAATTCCATTTAGGGTCCACCCCGACCCAAAAAGGGGCAAGTAAGCTCTATCTCTGGCCCCCAATTCTCCCCACACACCCCACAGTGTTCACTTCCTAAGCACTGTGCCCTGAACTGTCAGGTGGGACTCATCCACCTCAAAAGATGGGGAGGTGGAAAGGAAAGGACTCTTCAATTCCTTGGTATAACTGCGGCCAACTTTCCTTCTCCAGAGGCCACTGTGAGATCAAGGGACATGGTTCCATATAAAATACCTGTTAGGTAGACGCCCTTGCAGATACACCTGTGGGCCCAGCTTTGAGTCCAACAATTTGCAATTTTGCTTCTATGGGAAAATTGTTTAGAGGTTTCAAGTAAGCAATTTTCCAGCTCAAACATAAATGAGGGTTGAACTGTTTTTGCCTATCAGATGCCTCTGGGAGAGACACACCTTTACTTCAAAGCAAAGAAAGCGGATTTCAAAATCAATGCTTTCTTTACCACACCTCACCTGTGGGCAGACCAGTGTACCAAGGGCACACCTCACCTGATTAAAATAGTTAAATGCTATGTAAAGCAGGGAGGCATGTCTCTCAGTGTGAACAAATTCATTTCCCAGGCTGCAAACTGTACTGGCCACCCAGGAGACTTTATATGAAAACCTGAAAAATAAGCGGGGAGGTGTCCAGAAATCAGGAATTGTCATAGCTGATTTTGCCTTTTGCTTCCTTCACAAAAACCATTCGAAAGCATCTAGCTTTACCAAGAGAAGTGATTAGAAGCTTCTGAGAATACATGTAAAGGAGACTTTTACTTTAAAAGACATTTCAAACAGCCCCATCCATTTAGATGTAGAATAAAGATACATTTGTTGTGCCTGCATATTTAGGTACTTAAGGTTTCCTTCCCATTTTCTGATCAAGAAGGTACCTACCATGATGTGAAGACAGAGACAATGTAACTAAAGAGTAACAGAGTTCCTCAATGGATGTTATTCCTACTGAAGCCCTATGGGCAGTAGCATTTTTATTTAACAATGAAGTCATTCTCGGGCCTCCCCGGTGGCCCAGCAGTTGAGCGCTGGGTTGCGAAGCTGCCAGCACCCTCTGCAGCGCCAGTTCGATCCCCGGCTGCTCCCAGGCCACCAGAGGAGGGTCCCACATGGCGCGCAGACCTCTCCTGCCACCCGCTGCTCCCCTCAGCAGTGTACTTCGGTCCTTCTGCCTGCTCTGCTCCCCGCTCTGGCTCTGGTGAATTCTCTCACCCTTCCTCTGACTGTGCCCAGTGCTTGTATAAATAAATAAATAAATATTTAAAAAAAGAAAAGTTAAAAAACAATGAAGTCATTCTTGAGTGGACTTTCCTCATCTCAACCAGGTTCCCTGTGGCTGGTGGTCTCCATGTGTAAGAGGGAGCATGTTGTGGGCCCTGAAAGGTGAGGCTATTAATCGCAACCCAGAGAGCTGAAGTGGGCAATTATTGGTGCACATACATTTGTGGCTGTGTGAGAGAGGGTGCTTGGGCCACCCCAGACTCTTGCCTTCACCACTGTGCCCTGCATTTCAAATATGTGAGTGAATACAGGCATGCTGTAAGCCCTGAAGAGATCTGTTGATTAGCACTTTCAAAGTCACATCCATTCCTTTACTGCTTTTCTTATCATCTTTAAAAGCATGCCATTTTACTTCACTATCTTAACATTTGCATAAGTCCCTAGCAATGTCACCTCTTCACGAGGATACAGAAGAAAGGAAAATAATTGTGAACCTATTTATTTCACACAAAGGGACGTTGCAAATCACTTGTATCCTCTGTTCCTTGCACCAAATCACCACCTACAACTAAGTGCGTTTTCACTGACCATTGCATTTTACTCTTTTAGGAAAAAAATATTCTAAAATCAAGCGGGTCTCTAGTTAAAACTCCTTCGTTCAGAGCTTCTCTGCTTAAAAATCTAAAACAGACAATCACTAGCATATGTCTGTCCAGCGGCTGCATGGAAACTTCAACGTCCCTGGGGCTTCCTGGGATGCAGCGGTGGGGAGCGGCTGGCACACCCCCAGGCTCGCCTGGCTCCATCGCGGCGGGGGAGCGCCCAGACCGCTGGCCTTGGGGGTCCCGAGTGGGCAGAGACTGGAAGAGGCGACCTCACCTCCCGGCTCGGTAGCCGCGGGCGAAACACACTTCTGCGCGCATCAGGACCCGCATCAGACCCGAGCCGAAGCGGGGGGAGGCCGGTGACATCACCCAGCCCCGTGGCGTCTCCAAAAGCAGCCCCGCGGCCATCGAGTCACCCAGGCGAGGACGCAGAGCCGCGAGTCCTGGGACGCCCGGTAAAGGCACAGTTGCCAGGGCCAGGGGCCGCGGCGCTGTCCCGCGTCAGGCTCGCCTAGGTGGGGCTCGCCCCGCCCGGGGTCCCCGCACCCTGCAGCAGCTGCCCAGGTACGATCACGCAGTAACAGCCCCTCACCTTCTCCTCGGTCCAGGCTACGGCGCCCAGGATCGCAGGGGACAAGGTGGCCAATAGCAGCAGCAGGTGGAGGGTGCCCACCGCGCGCCGGTCCCCGCCGCTGGCCATCTCTCCAAGGCTGCCGGGCGCGGATTCCCGGCGCAGCCAGCGGTCACGAGCCCGGGAACGCGCGTCCTTCGTCTTCTCTTTTCTCCACCCTTGGATTTACTGCGCCCGCCCCGCCAGCTGCCCGGTCACCTCCCCGCTGCGCAGCGCAGGCCGAGGCCGCAGAGCCCTCCTCCCCTGACCTTAGCAACAGGGGCCTGCGCTGCCCTGGGAGGGAAGTTTCCGAAATCTGGGCAACTGAGACAGCCTGTCTTGGAGAGGAGAAGGGAGAGAATTTTTATGATCTCAAATGCCATAACTGGGATAGGAATGGGCTGAGGAGGGAGGGGTCATCAGACCCTGTGGAGCTATGGAGTGTTTCCCAGCAGGGATGCACAGGAAATTGACATTTTCTGAATACTTCTGTGACAGCCACTGCCCTACATGCTTTCCCTAAGTTTTCTTGTTTAATTTTCATAACTACGTAAGGTAGATGTTAATCCCATTCTGTTGATGGGGAGACTGAGACACACACACCCCACAAAGCCTGAACTAGAATCCTCAAATTGTCCCTCTCCACCTCTCTCATTCCCTGCACCACTTCCCAGGCCCTGCCCTCCTCTCTCCTCCTCTCCCCTCTCTCCTCTAGCCTTGTCTTATAAGAGAGAGACTCTCACAATCCCAAACTGGACCATATGCTTTCATTAATTATCTGAGATAAATGATCTCCAGTGTTCACAGTGACTCTTCAGGAAGTTGTTTCTCCAATGCATACTGTCAATATAATCCTAGAAAAAAAAATAAAAACAGTATCTCATTTTTGTCCATAAAGTTCTGATCTAAGTGGTCAGGACAATTACTTCACCATACTCTTTTTCTTCCAAAGTGAGATTAGCAGGCGACCAAGAGGTTACTCCAGGACCACCAAATGTGCACTCTCTAATGGGGTCTGGTCATCTGTGTGTAGAGACAAAGCAGATTCTTAGTGTGAAAGAACTTTAATAGAATTAATGTATAAGAGAGAAGTGAGGAAAGGATAATAGTTTCCCTATAAAACACCCAAAGTTACCTATCCCCTGATGGGTAAATGCTCAGTCAAAAAGGGTCAGCCAGAAGTTGGGCTGCTGAGGCCTGACAGCTTTCCACACCTCGTGGAAGGCACCTTCTGGTGGGGAACCATAGAAAAGGGGATGAAAGGGCCAGGCAAGTCTGGGACAAAAGGAGCAAAATCAAAGCATGAATCAAAATAATGACCTCCATTGTCAGCAACCGGTAAGTCTCTTCCTAGTGCCTCTAATGGAAGCTGAGAGTAGAAAAATTTAGATGGAAAGTCTCAAAAGACAAGAACCTCACAAGAGAAGACAAGGTGGGGATAGGAAAGAATAACTAGTCATTAAAACAGCTATGGAAGTTTCCAGGAATCTGGGATAGAGGTAGAAAGTTTAATCAGTTACAGAAAACCAACACAAACAGACCCCAAAGCAATAAAATTCCACAAAGGAATGAATCCCCCCCACCTCAACCCTCCCCCAAGAACACCAGATAAGAGCACCCTTTGCTCTGGCAAAATGCAGCTCTTTACAGGCCTGTGTCTATGTAATCACCTCTTTTATTTTTTTCCTATTTTTTCCTAGTAAACCTGCCCTTATTTAAATGCAGCCTTTGGTTGCTTGCGTCTATGCAAATACCTTTTCCTTAATAAACTCTGTGTGCCAATGAATGGGGAACTGCCGAAATCTTTCTTAGAAGTGTTATAGGGCAGCCCCAATATTGAATGGGTTGCCTGGCTGTGGGTCCTCACCCGAGCGCTTAAAAGGGACTTAAGAATACTCCACTACAGGCACACACAAAAGGTTAATAAAAGGTTTATTTACAAGGGAAGAGGAAATAAGGAAAATGTACAACTCAGGGAGAAAATAGGGAAATAAAGTCTTTAATGAGTCCTACCCGATCCGCTGACCTGGAAACCCAAAGGCACTCTCAGCGCTGTCCTGACGCTGCGAGCTGGCGGAGAGCCAAAATGGGGGACCCCTCCAAAGCCCACGTGTCTGGATTTATACCAACCTGGCTGCTTAACCCCACCCTCAGGTCCCAGCCACCTTCCCTTCGGTGGTGATGGGATTTGGAGTTCCCAGTGTCTTTGGCTTTGGCCTGGGGTGGGGGTGGAGTCCACAAAGCCTGTATGGAATTAGCTTTAGGACATCCTTTCCCCCTAACAATTCCCCCCTTTCACTTTTTGGTCCACAAAGCCTGTATAAAATTAACTTAGGACATCCTTTTCCCCCTAACAGAAGGAACTAGAAGGAATAACTTAGAAGGAACCCCACTCATTTGAATCCTATCATCTCTACATGTGTCTCTCCTCCATGTCTCCTCCAAGTCCCCAAAGTCCCTGGTGCAAATCCAAAGCTGACAAGCAAGTGAGCAATTCTTCCCTAAATGCCTCCCATGTCTCCCCGAGCCCACAGGCTTCCTGTGTTATATCGTTTCTCCTAGCCACTCTGTTCCACCCTCATTTTATGGTGATGCCTCCCCATTTTATGGAGATGTCTCTAACAATATCAGGAAGCAAATTGCCCTGGGAGAACTCCTGGTAACTTTGAGGATCCCAGAAAAATCAGAATAGACACTAAAACAGACCAGAGAGAGCAGAGGCATGAAGGTAATGGAGTCAGCCAGAGTTTCATCAGTTCCATCTTCATAGGCTAGACTTTAAGAGCTTTAAAAGAGAGAGGACTAGCCTAAAAATACACATTCTGCCTTCCCATGGAGCTACAGAGGAAGACAGGATGGAAGGCCCTACTTTCCTGATGTTCAAAATTACTAGTTCTAGGCATGTCAAAAAGTTTGGAATAATGGATTAAATCTTCAAGCTTAAACAAAATCAGATAGCTTCATGGACAATTCTTCCAAAAGTCAGACAACTTCAGAACTTTTTATTGGTAAAACATTCAAAGTAAATTATATCTCCAATATATTTCCTCTCTTGCTGCTTAGCCAATTTTGAAATTGTGAATTTCCTGAGTGGGTAAGAAATATCCTATTTGTTTTTCCTACCCAAATACCTTATTATCTATCCACAACATGATTCCTATAAGAAAGGGAAGGTAAAGATAGTAGGCCTATATGTTTAAAAAATGTGAAATATAATGGCAATTATAAATAAGCAATTCAAAATGAGAAATAAGGAAATGCTTGAGTTCAAATGTTAACATTTAGTTTGATGTTTATTTTCGATTCTCTAGGGTTCTCCAATTTTGGTTCATTTAAGTCTATAAGATGCTGTTGCAGTTTAGCATTTACAGGAAGCAGACTTTTGGACAGAGTTTCACTTACAGGATGTGAATTAGGGAGTTTCTTTGGGACAAGTCTTGAGGGAGGGGAAGAAAGGAAAGGACTGGGTAGAGAGAAAAGTTAGCAGTGAAATGTGATTCCCCCCTCCCAGCCTCACCCAATCTCCAGTAGAGACCTGTAGCTGAAATGTCTCACAATGGAACAAAATTGCTGGGGCTTTTTACTCCCACCTTGATGAAGTGACTTTCTGCAAGCAGCTTTCTGCAGCTTGAAGGAGCTGACAGCTAGAGGCTGTCTGGCACCAGCACAACAGCTGGAGCAGTTCTTCCCTGAAGAGAGGCCTGAGCAGTATCCATCACAGATGCCTCTGGACGGTGTAGCTCACATAAATCTAAAACATTTTACATAGGAAGTGAAGCTGATTATAATAAGTTGCTTTTTATATAGGTGGACTTTTCTGACAACTGTCCATAGATCTACAAATCCAACATAATTCTCTATGTATCGCTACCTTCATTATGTGTATCTTTTTTTTTTTTTTTTTTGGTGCCTTATATAGTAAATATCCTTCTTCCCTTTTCTTTCACTCATTTTTCTTTTGTCCCATCCTTTTTCCTGGTCCTTAATTCTGGAAACTTTTGGAAATAGCTTATGTCTGCTATTTTTTCACTGACCACAAATTTTCCTCTCTTCAAACTTTTCCCATGGAAGATAACCCATGACTATTCCATTGAATTAAACAACATTAGGCCCTGTTTTTCATCATCAAAAGAGAACTAGATGTTTATGCAGTGAACAGCACTGTTCACAAGTGGGTGGTTATCATCTACATTAACTACCTGCTAAAAAATAAAAAGATCTACCACATCAAGACCATGCCGGGAGTTTCATACATCCAGTTCCACCTTAAAGTGACATCACTGGGGGGGGGCCTCCCGGGTGGTGCAGCAGTTGAGCCTCAGCGAAGCTGTCTGCAGCCTCTGCAGCGCCAGTTCGATTCCCCACCGGCCAGGAAGAACCCCACATGGCGCAGAAGACCTCCCCTGCCTCGCCTGCTGCTCCCCTCAACAGTGTCTTTGCTCCGTCTGCCTGTTCTGCTCCCTGCTATGGTGAATTCTCTCACCCTCCCACGCTTCTGAGCTGTACCCCAGTTCTTGTATAAAATAAATAAATAAATCTTTTAAAATAAATAAATAAATAAAGTGACATCTTTGGACTAAAGCAGTAATGGCCAGAAGGTTCAAAGTGTGATGCATGGCTCCCTGGAGATTCCTTAAGACCTTTTTGAATTTCCATAGTGTTTTCCATAGCAGCTATATGCCATTTTACTTCTCAGCAACAGTGCATTAGGTTTCAATTTCCCCATATCCTTGCCAATATCTGCCATTTTCTGATCTTTTTTTTTAATAGTGCCATCCTGATGGGTGTAAGGCTAGTATCTCATTATAGTTTCTATATCATTAATTATTAGCTATTTTTGCAGTCTTGCTTTGTTTCAACATTGTTACTTGGTAAAATAAGAAATTGGAAACTCAGCTAATAATATCCACGTTTTAGTAAATGTACTGGTCCTTGAAATAGGAAAATCTGACAACTGTCAGTATACTTTCTGTGTCCTCTTCTTATCTTCCATTTATTTCCTCAAATCAGTGCAATTTGCCTTTGACCCTCAATTTTCTTCCTGAGATCTTTCCATCAGAATCAACAAATTTTTAACATATTTCCCCAAATAGAATGAGCCTTTTCCAGTCCTTATAGAATTAGTTAAAAAAAAAAAAAAAAAAAAGGAGGCGGCTTTGGGGTCAAACTTAGAATCCAGACTCCTTCGGGA